TACTACTTTTTTAATAGCAAGGGAAGATTGAATCCCAGAATGGCCTGGGCTGAAAGGGACTTTAAAGATCATCTAATTCCAACCCCCTTGCCACGGGCAGGGACAACAACAGATACACGTCTCTACTGCTAAATTACAGGATCAAATGAAATGAAAAAGCAGCTAGTAACATACACACCCTGTTTCCTGCAAATGCTTGGACACTCACTGCATGAAGAAAGAAATCAGAGTGGTATAATCACCCCAGATATATATCAGGACACTGCACACAATTAATACTTGTGTCATCTCAGCTTGGAAGGCACTATTTAAAAATTTAAATAAGAATATTTTCAATGACAACAGAGGCATAAAAATGGCAGAGAAGTAATATGTTCAATAAATGGTTTTCTAAGAAATGTTTGAATTCAAACTGCACAGGTTTTCCTCAGACTTGGCAAAGAAAAATAGGGCTTCTAAGACAAAAAAAAAAAAAAAAAAAACCACCTGTAATTCAGCACAAACTGATGCTTTTCTTGAAAAATCCATCTGAAGGACAGTCTGCAAGATAAATTAAACTCTGTCATAAAAACAGAGGATTACTCCCATGGGATTCACACACTCAGTAAGGAAAATAAAAACTGACCAAATGAAACTGAGCAACCAATGTACAGCCCAATGACTTCCCAGTAACAGGAAGAAAATTGATTATTATTTCTTCAGAAAGGAAAAAAGGCTTTTTTTTTTCCCCAAAATAATCATAACGTGGTTTAAAATTCAGAAATGTTATCAAGTTTTGTTTTGTTTTGTGTTTTTTTTTTTCCCCCCCCCAAACAGCATGACCTCCAGAGAAGGACGCCACATTAAAAATTATAATTCATAAAATGATTTTTACAAGTGTTTAAAAAAACTGCATGCCATGTTACAAAATATGTTACATTTTTGGCAAGTGAGCTTGGAGTCTAAGTTTCCCCAGAATTGTATTTTTCTTCCTACAATGTTTATGAAAACATTTTATTTTTAGTTAAGAGGAAAAAAATTACACAAAAGTGGAGTGTATCTATGCTTAAGACACAGAAATGGAGATTATAAACCGAAGTATAAATGCTACTGTAGGCATTTTTTCTAATCAAAACCCACTATGCTTTAATACACCACAGAACATTGCCTACATATGTGCCAAATCCTAAGAATCATAAAACTCCTGCTAAGCAAAACTATCAGTCAGCAATATCATTTTAAAAGAAGCAATTCACTCCTTTCATAGTTCTTGCTAAAATACTATTACTTACTTACTATTAAATTACTGACAATAAGAAAGGCTTACAACCCACAGGGATTATATCTATTATTTTTCCTTTAAATGTCTTCAGCCATACATAAAAGCCTTCTCTCAAAAAGATCTTCTCTCTAATCTCTTGGATAAGATAAACACAAAACTTTTCCGAGGAAAATCAATTTGCGTAACGAGAAAGAAAAATTACTACCACTGTTTCTATTTCTATTCATCATAGAAATCTAATTCATCTTTGGTAAACAAAATGAGTTGTCAGAAACAGATCTCAAGCCTAATTCCCCACATGTGCTTTTGAAAATGTGATCTCGTCAGCCTATGCAGCTTAAAGTTTTCATTTCTAACTCTGTAATTATTCTTAAATACAAATACACAATTAACAACTAACCATAAATTCACTGTAGTACCAAAAGATGAATATTTTACACATTTTAATACACATAAACTACAAAAATAACACATTTAACAAAAAGTTCTCTGATTCAACTAACCAAAGTAGTGATGTTCTGCTTGTCTTTGAGGTGCAGGTGCCTACTGATTTTATGGCTGTTCATGCTTTTTGCAGCAAATCTCGAACACAGCAACATTTCAGTAATTTGCATCCACACTAAATGGAAAAGCTATTTCACATACAAATTAAGTGCCTCTTTCAGTGTACATGCAACCTCATTAACTTTAATCAGTGTATATACCTTAGAGAAAAAATATTTCTACTGGTAAATTACAAAAAATGTCTTTTACTTATAAATTGTAGCCATACAGTCTCGGTCACAGAGATTACGGATGGCTCCAAATCAACATACCAAAGAGCACCATTCATTTCTAAAAAGGATTATATAAACTTCTGTTTCATTTAAACTTTGCTTTTGAGTTGCAAACATATTTTTCATTTGAAGAATTTCCAAGCTGTAGGAAAAGCTTCCTTGCTTCAGGTGTTCTGAATCTTTTAATGTTTCCACTATAGTACTAGTGCCAGATTAAGAGCAGGAACAGAAAACTGATTTATTATTATTATTGCTAATATTTTAAAATCAATAGCATAGGTCAAATTTCTACTCAAAGAGAAAGAGAATCCATATTGTTTGATTTACCAAATAATGGAACTCAGATCTTCATTTGCAAATCAACAATGGTCTCATACTAGAAGGACGTCAGCAGAACTCTCTTAAGATATATATTAGGAACTGCAGCAACAAGCCTGTCAACATACCCAAGTATGTTTCGGCATTGACATTTAACTGTTCTTTAATTTTACTTGCTTTTATGTTCCTTTTCTTTGTTTGCAGTTTTCTGGATACATTTAACAGCTAACAGCTTTAACCTTTACACCAAAAATTTAACATCAACATCTCCAAACTCAAAAAATCTGTTGACCACTTTACCTTAGACATCATACGTATCTACAATAACTGCACTTGTATATATACTTTTATATACACACACACCTACATATTTACCTATATGTACCTATATATTTTCAAATGTCAATTGGATAAATTAATGCTTAATAAATTCACTTTTTTCCTCCCAGAATTCAGCAATTCCTCTCAATACAAATTAAATATTCACCAGCTGGCTCTGTATAAGATTAGATTTTTTTTTTTTTATGTATTTATTATTAGTTACTTGTCCTTCATCATAACTTCTACAAATTCCAAAACAGTGTGTCATTTCTTTTCAGACAGAAGCCACGCCTTGCCAAAAATTACTGGAGATACTGGTGAAAAGCAGCAGCATGCCCCTTTTAAACAGGCAATACATGAAATTTGATTAAACAAAGCACTTCTAAATCTATGGTGTAAGAAACCAGAAATCAGAAAACAGAGAAGTTTCAATAGCTGTGAAGAGTAAGCTATTTGGATCGGACCTGAAGGCTGAATTTCCCTAAATATTTAGTATATTCTGTCCATCCTGATTTTATCGTACTCTCATCCTTTAAGGACATTAAGTGCCTCTATTTATTCTCTCACAATTTTAACAGCCTTTAATCAGTGAGATGGTTTTGACTGCATGCACTTCATTTTCAGTTATTGACAGAATGCTTGCTGTACACAGCCTGGCTTCTTCCAGAAAAAAAAGGTAACTAAGAGCTTTAAACTACAAGTAGATGAAAAAACAATATAGGAAGTCCATTAATATTATCAATGGCCATTTAGAAGTTCCCAGGTAGATTACAGCTCTATTTTTTTTTCATTAGCATTGGAAACACGACTTAGGCGAGTTGGAGCTATTATATTGACATTTACTGTATACCTGTCATTTATAAAATTCTGCCATTTTTTACTAACATTTCTCATGTTTGTGTCATTAACTATTTCTGAAATTATCAAACATCTCTTAAACATTACATCTTGCCCATTCATCAGGTGTAGGGAAAAACAGGAACAAATATTGCACATTTGTAAAGAAATCTTCCAGGACAGTATTCAACAAAATAATTAGGAATCACTAAAGTAGGAAAACAGAACTAAAAAGTGTTTCCATCATTAAGTATTTTGTTTCTATTTTTTTCATGACCACCACCTTTTGTTCAGTTTTCATCTTCTTTTACTACAAGCCTATTTTTCACATTTTTTTTTAAATCCAGTGAAAGTAAACAAAGCATTATTAACAGACAACAAAGACTGTATCAGAACTCAATTTGAAATCATTATATATAAATGTTGAGACTCCCTAAGTGCACTCATTCATTAGAAAACAACGGTTCATACAAAATAATACAACATTTATTTCAGCCTTCAGGGAAGTGTTATTTGATAGGGAGAAAAAAATTACAACTCCATCACAAAACTTCATGTTAAATAATGGAAGCAGACATTTTCATTTCACACTGCCTACTGAAACATCTCCAAAGCCATACACAAAATAACAAATTATCTCCTTTTATTACTCAGCTTACTGTGAGTTGTACTTTAATATTACAGCAGCCTCTAGAGACCTCAAGAGGTATGAAAAATCAACTTTTTTTCTTTTAATGCATCTGTCTGTTAAAGCTTCTGAAGTATAGAATGATTTAGACATAAACAGGCATCCTGATTCATAGACTACATTCGTGTATGGCTTCTTAAGAAGGAAAAGGAAATTAAAGTAAAAACCCAGGTTTTTTAAGAGATTATTTGTCTTCCTTCTTTCAATATTCCTTCCTTTTGTTCAGTCCCTACAGTTATTAAACGTGAAAACAACGAGAAAATGGTTGCTTAATATTTTAATAGCAAAAAGGTGGGGGTTTGTTTTGATTGTCAGACAAAGGGAACACAAAAACAATTGAGCATATTGCTATTACTAAACTCTAAACTGAGTGCCACACAGAATGTGTTGTTTATAACCTCAGGAAGGAAGATTGGTGTTACCAGTTTTTCCTTTAAGTTTGAACGTGAAGAAAAGCCCATTAAAGTTGCAAATACCTTCATCAAATTAGATTTGATAAGTGGGATTTATCCCACTTAATTTCAAAATTACTAACTTCTAAACACCTAAGCCTGAAATAAACAGCTTAGATTTACTTTTTTTTTTTTACCCTTGGCTTTTGACAGTCAAGAGAGAAATACAAACTACCACACTGAAATTTATTTGACCTTTTTTCAAAGGAGAGGAAAAGCACTCCGTTTTTTACTGCTGACTGCAGCAGAACTTCTAGGAGCCACCTTCTAAATGACCAAGTTAGAAAAAAGAATGCCACCAGCTCTGCCCAATATTAGTTCCAGATGCATCAATTTCAATGACTTACCCTCTACTGTTAGAGTACCCATTTTGGATTCTAAGAAATCAAACAATGTGCTTGGTGCAGACGGTCTGGCGTTTCCTAGCTCTTCTTCGTCTTCAGGTCTTATTCGGCCTCGGCCCTTTCCTTTACCTGTAAGGGTAAAAACCAGTTATTTGGGGGGTGAGGGAGGAGGAAAATAAGAAGTATCTACATTTTTTTAAATTATTATTATACTTAAATTATAAAATGTCTGTATTCCCCATCTTAAAAACCAAAAACTATCACTGACAAAACAGATGCAGGTATTTTCCATGTAGGATATTAAAATCTGTGATTTCAAATTCAAAAATTTTGAAAAGGACATAATACATAATTCTTTTCTAAGTATTATATATTTCTCAGGTTTGCAACGCATTCTAACTTGCAGGAAAACAAATATGTAAATATACCTTATATAACTACATTAGTAATGCACTGTAAACAAATTATTTTGCTCATGAACACTTTGTTTTGAAGCATTTCTTTTCAAGTTATACCTCTAGGTGGTGGTCCCTGAAGGGGTTTCTGTTTGCTACTGTTCAGAAGAAAATTTAATGCTGCCTCTAGATTGTTACTGTTATCCATAAGTGCCTGTCTTGCTGCTTCTTTGCTGAAACCCATCTCTGTTATGTGTTTTAGAGCCTTTTCATCAACCTGGAAAGATACACACATAAATTATCATAAATTACAACAGAGACTTTACAAAAACATTAGATTTGACTTTAATCTTACATTAACTGAAACGCTTTTTCACATTTCATTGGTAAACTTTTCAGATTTACATATGATATTCACAGACAAGCTCTCCTAGTTCTAAACAACCAGCTGTTAGAGATTTTTTTTTCAATGATTTCTGTTTAGTTCACTGACTTTTTGGTTCTAGTATTAGGTGGTTTCAAGCAGAAATTCCTCTTTTGTACTTTTTTCTTCACTGTACAAATTTTACGTTCTTCAATCAATGTAAAAGGAATCTCTCAAAGCAAAGCAATACTAGTATAACAACTAGACTTCAGTGAGACAGGAGATGTAACAACTCAAATAACTTTCAAAACCATATTTTACTATCCAAAAATTACTGTAACAAGCAAGACATGACTTTGCAGAGCTTGGGTAAAATCCTTATATGCTTGGCTATGTACCCTTCATCCTTCAATGATTTCATTTCTTAATTCCCAAATTTAACAATATTCTTTGATCAAATGTCTGCAGATTGAGTAACTGAATGAATAGTAATTAAAAAGGTCTTTAAAGTCCAGTGGACTAAAACATAGTATCAATGTCTAACACAGAATCATCATCCCACTTGAATTCAACTTTCAGTTGCCTAAATAACATCTTATTTTTAATAATAGAGTATAATGCTTCCTTATCTGGGTCATTCTCCAAAATTTCTCTGCATGAGAACAAGGGTCCAAGAGAGATAATTACTGGTGCTTCAATATCAGCAAGCCTGCTTCACTCTTCTCCCTCTTGCAGTTAAGTAGCTGCTTTGAGCAAGAAGAGAACTTCCAGTTTACTCTATACCTCCTCCTTTCAGTAGTAGAAATTCTGTACACAACAGCTATGTTCATCAAAGACCAGCAAAAAATGAGGACTTGCAAATACAGTACCTGCACTACCAGCTGTGGATAAAAAAAGCCTCTTGAATAGGTTACAACTTGAAACCCAAAGGAAAGACAACTTTTCAAATACAAAGAGTTTTTGTGAAAGGAGGTAATATCTGAACTATCCATTGATGTCAAAAACTTTCCCTTCAACTCCATTTACACCATACAGATCTTGTAGGTTCTCATAAAAAAAATGAAAAGGCAAAGAAAATTATAGGACATACCCTATTTGTAGTACTATTAAGAGAGAAGGGGGATTGACCTGCACAATTTACTGATTATCTACAACGAAAAAGCAGAAACTACTTCTTTGGTTCTTGTTTAGTAAATAAAGATACAGTGCCTCAGGTTTCTCATAAGGTAACACACAGATGGGAAACTAGGATAAAAGCCTTTATCCTAGTTTACTGAATTATTATCGTGAAACCTCTTTCAGTCAGTCTGCTTTCATCACTCAAACCAGAATCAATCATTCATTGTTATTGTGTGCTCGCAAATCTCTGTCCTGATTTTTTTTTTTTATAACAAAGACTTTTTCCATCAAACTTTCAGATTGCTGAAGTGAGCAAAATAAACTTCCATGACTGCCAATCTTATACCCAATTAATTCAATGCAGTGAATCGAAAGAACTCTTCTCATTTAGCATAAAGTTATGAAATACACTGGAATGTGATATTTTAAATTAGGAGAAAGAGTTCAGGTTCTCCAATGGTAACCCACTTTATTCAAAATATAACATTATCTGTGACTACGTCAGCATGACATGTCACTAGAAAAGTATTTCTACTTTGGTATTTTAAATATCACAAGTACCATGTACTTTTCTCAATGTCGAATGAATTCTTAAAATAAATATTAAATTAATTCAGAAGAAAATCTACACTAAAATATCATTTGATATGTTGAAATCAACGGATGGAAGTCTTCCTGCCTAAAACGAATTGATAAATGTTGACATGCGAAACTGTTGAGCTTATTTCAAGAAAATAAAACTAGACTGCAACGATCTATACCACACATAGTATAGCTCTTCTTTTGTGAGGTTTTAATTTTACTGGATAATAGGATAATAACACTTTACAAAAATCACATTGAACCTCATACCCGTCTGAGTAAGGTACAAAAGCACACTTCTAAACTTCTTGTTCTAAACAAACTTCAAAATAAATTCAAATGAAAGCCCTTTTAAAAAGGGTCTTTTATTTTTTTGTTAGCTTTGTTTTTTAATGGTATGCATTTATTAAATCTTACACCTTACCAGTTCTCTGTAGACTCCTTCATTTTTTCCCTCAGGTTTCGTTATCTTCTCTTTCTGGAACAGCTCCCTGTTTCGATTCCCTCCAGCATTCACACTCAGATTACTTCTGCTACTACCACCACCTCCTCCAAATGTCTTGGTCTTTAGATAAGCAAAAAAATAACAATTCAGTAAACTGAACTTATGAAAATATGCCTTAATATTTAGCTAGTACAAGAACTGCAGTAAATTTGAAGCTGCTGTATTTTTTATGCTTATGCTTTGCATCAACAAATAAAGCACTTAGACACACAAAAAAATGATGAATTTATTAAGTAGGACTTCAACTTTTTTCCTCTTTTGACCAAATGAGGCTGTAAAACATGCATATAATTCTAGTTTTTATGAGTTACCAAACAAATCATAATTTCCATTTCCTAAAATGGAAAACCAACAGGGGGCATAAAAAACTGACACATTAGAACAAAACTTCCTAGCTGTTTTACCAGGCTGAATAGAAAGAATCATGGGGTTTTCAGAAATGAAAAAAGCAAATGAGTATTAGTAACCTCTATTGCCTACTTTGATCTTGTTAGCTGAATAGCAAAAATCACCTATTTTAATAGGGCTATCAAATCAAAATTATAGCTACGATAAAACATTAGGACGCATTTATTATCTTTATTCAAATAAAAATATACTCAACAATCCAAAAGGACTCTCTGTTTTTGAGTCATATTTTCAAGAAAATACATAAACAGAATTTTAAGAAGGCAAACATCAGAAAGTATTTGTCAGTTAAGAGAGTTAAACTAACAAGAAAAGATCAACTACAGGAAGTAAAATGCTGCAACACATGCATTCTAACCTCCTTGCTCTTTGCTACTTCTGCAATGGCAGCTGTTCTCTGCTTTTCAAATTCATCGTTGTCAGCAGCAGGTTTTACAGTATTTGTCATTTGCAGAGTCTTTCTGCGATCAAGATCTCTACTGTCGACTTGCACATGAGACACACATTTCTGGTAACACAAAATAAAGATTTAATTAACTCTTCTGTCTACTTTAATTTGCAGAAAAAGAAAAACAACAACGTATTGGTAGCACAGCTTTAAATAATACAATCACATACATGTACACTGAGTACTAGCTACAGCTATAGCCTTTGCTGCAAAGAACTCTGGTCCACCAGAGATGCCAAAAAGAATCACTTGTACACTTCCATCTTATTTCATGATGTAACTAATATGATTCTCGTAAATACCTTTGTCATTTAAGAGTATAGACTGGTGCCTTCAAGACATTGCAGGAAAAATCAGAGGTCCCATACAACAAAATTTTAAGTTTGCAATCGAGAGAAAAATATTAAATATAAATTGGCACAATGAAATGACAAGATCAAAACCTATGCCCTCCCACCCACCGCCTCCTCTTTAAACAAAGTCATTTTTTAGTATCCAGATCATCAAGATGTAAATGTGCATTGATAGCCTATATTCAAACGGAACTACCTCTTCCTAGATACCAGATTTTTTATGAATTGTTTTATGAACTATCATGGCTATAATTTGTAGGTTACAGCTGAATGACAAAGAAATATACTATACCTGCCCAAAAGGCACAAAAGGGGGAGGGCCACCTTCCGTTCCAATATTGCTCCTATTGTGTTTTGCTAAACTCTGTAAAAGAAAATTGTTGCGTCAATCACGGAAACAGAACACTGTGCCAGCTGGACACTTCATGTGGCCTTAAGAAGAGTACACGTGTTAAATTGATTAGCAGTTCTTCAGATCAAAAAAAAAAAAAAAGAACACACATAACAGTAAGCATAATCATTATTAATATTTATGGAATAGAAATGCTCTAAATAGCTAGTCAGTAATTGGTAATCTAGACCTGCAAAATACAAGCATTCTCAAATAATATAAATAACTAGTCAACAACAGAAATGAAATGGATTTGTAAGATACTGCTTTAAAATATCTGCTCATAGTCAATGTGTTGTTTCTTTCTTTACAAATCCTGACAACAGCAACAACCTACACAAGGATGAAATTCATTAGAACTGACACAATGGTATGTGCTAGTTATTTCATACTAAACAGATACATTTGGGTCAGAACTGGATTAAGGGAAGATAGGCCCTTAACAATGATTAAGATGCTTTAAAAAAATATATATACATTTTTGCATAATGCATTTATCTTCTTCGTTTCTTATTGCCCTTTTTGTTGTTATTGTTGGCTTTTTTTGTGTGTTAAAACACGGGGATAGTCATGTATGGTTACATACATCACTGTAATATATATTTTAAACTTAAGCCTGTATTATAACCTATAACCCTGAGTTACTTACATGTATTTATTAGAATTACTTATATGCATTTATTATCCTGATGTAAAATTGATTTATCTCCATCACAAAACTGCAGTATAAACGTGTATATGTTTTAAGCCATTATACTAGCATATATTATCAAGGAATTTCAAAAGATACCTAAGATATTAATTCAGCTAAAGTTTTACTAAGCCAAGGCTTTTGGCCCACTCTTGAAATTACCCACTTTTATTCCATAAGCAAAGAACATTTTCAAAGTCATCTATGATCATTAAACATATCCAAGTGTAAAAATAAAATAAGTAAACAAACAAACTTTTCTTCACGCCCTACAGCAAAAAAAGTTGATACAATATTCAATAAATTATTCAAAACAAACCACTTGCAAGTGCAAAAATCATAAATTTTTGCTGCTTTAGCACCAGTTCACTTAAAAGTACCTTCTTCAAATTATGAGCTAAGCAAGGGGTGATCACTGGAGCACACCAGTACATTCCTGCTGCTGCTAACTAAAGTCGCCCAGTACATTTCATGGGCAAGCTGGTTCCTCGGGGAGGTATTCTAGGTGAAGGGTAAAAAACGCCTCTATAGCCAAGCTTGGTACTTCACTACATGGCATTTCATGCATGATTCATTTCACCCAACTTTTCACAGCATCTACAGCATAAATGTCTCTATCTGAGTCAGTGACATCAGGTTCTTTTTAGAGACAAAGGCAAACAAGGACTGCTAAGGGAATATGTCACCCCTCGGATACCTGACGCCTTAAAACCTGCCTGTTCTTCCCTACTGACTGTAAAATGACTTTAGGGTGACTAAATCCAATAGGTATCTTACATTACAGACATCATCTGAGGTTAGCATCACGCATGCTGTCCTTACAACATGAGGCACTGAAGTCTGGCTCTGTAGAAACTATTCTAATCCCTGAAGCCACTGGTGCTAAAACAATACCAAAGAAGAAAAAAAAACACTACCACAAATGAGGTTTAAACAACCTAATTACCCCCAGAACACTGAGAACACTGTGAAGGAATGATTATTTGGAATTCTCATCTAAAGAAGTCCGTGGAGCATTGTCTTGTATTTCTAAATAATCAAGAAAAAAGATTACATGGTAACATTTTCATTTACTCCTTCCTTATATATTTACTGCCACTTAAATGGTGACACTTAAAAAAAAATGGAAGAAATTTAAAGGCAATAATTACCTTACAACAAATTTTATTGCTACAAAGAATACAACACTTATTCCACTTGAACTGCATTTGTTGTGTGATGACACTGCATTCATTCTGTATACACAGTATTTGTAGTACAAGTCTGTTACTACTAAAGTCTGATTCCTCCCCAAAGCAATTTCAAATATCATCCTGAAAAGCAATTTCAAATATCATCCTGAATGGAACAAAACGGTAATGCAACTCTAAGCCAACAGGCAGGTATCAGGGCAATAATTTAATACTGGACAAATAATTTTAATCCCAAAGCTTTGTAAAATTATTTAACTTAATAACACTAACTTTTAAAGCAAGTATAAATAAACTTATTTATTTCATCTTCTATACAAGAAGCCCAATTAACGCTCCTCAGATATCATAGTGGAGAAACAGAAATTGACTTGAAAAAAATTGAAACAGTCGCACAAATACAAGTTTTCTGTCTTTTTATGCAAACACTGTTCAGTATTTCATTTAATCCTGACTGGCACGATTAGACAAGGAGTGGCAATGTCCTTGCTCGAATATCTTTGAGAGCTGACAGTCTTACTTACTGTCAACCATTCCGTTTTGTAAAGCTTTCTGAATGGGAAAACATTAAGTTCATGGGGAAAGTGCTACCAAAGTAGCATCTGACTTCTATAGACTCGTTTCAGCCCTATCTGTCTAGTTGTCAGCCCGGATATAGACATGGAACTATGACTTGCAGTGGCCATGGTTCACCTGTCCAAACTGATTTCTTGTTCCCTGTAGCTTTGCAGCTGACACGGTCACATTCTTGCTGCAAACTTGACCATGTGCTGTGAGCTGTTCAGGGACGAGAAGAAATTGAAAGTCCAGCAAACTCTCTGGAGCTTCCTGGAGAAACGGACATGGAGGTGCTCGTCTCTGCCCCCACGTAACCAAGGATAGGATGCAAGGAAACTACATAAAGCTTTGCCAGGGGAGGTTCAAACTGGGCATTAGGAAAAATTCCTTTACTAAGAGGATGGTTAAACACTGGAACAGGCTTCCTAGAGAGGTGTTCAACGCCCCATGCCTGTCAGAGTGAAAATGCCCTCACTGCCATGCTCTAACTTCTGGTTAGTCCTGAAGGGGTCAGGTGGGTGGATTGGGTCTTTGTAGGGCCCTTCCAACTGACCTGTTCTCTTCTATTCAAACTGCAAAATGGAACCAGAGAACTGAGGGAATAGCAATAGCAATAATTAAATCCCTATAATGTATCTAATAGAAAATCAGTGAAAACAAATTCTTTTAAACATATCACATAAAGTCAACCTAAGCGGCTAACAAGTGCTGAAAGTTACCCTTACCAGCACTACGGTTATAAAAAGGTTTGCTTTATTGTAAGCAGTTGTTGTTCTGTAGTTATTTCTTGACATTGACTTCGAAAACTAATTAGTATTTACAGAACAATGTTTCTTTGTTGAAACACAGGTAGAATAAACACAAGAACCGACTTGCCAAAACTCACTAGTAAAACAAACATGAAAACAGATTGTTCAAAGTATCACTAATAAAGCTAGCTGATTCTGTAAAGCCTTCTCTTTCCAACTAATTGATATTCTTAAGAACATGTAAGATGTTTGTGTCCCTTTTTTCAACCTTGTAGCTTAATGCTTTTATTTGGAAAGAAAACTTACAAGTTTTATAGTAATATGAAAAAAATTATAATATGGAATGGTTCTGTTTCTGGTCCCAGAACCCTTTTTTTAATCAAGCAGGCAATTTCATTTAAATTCAGGATTATTAATTTTTTTTTTTTAATATTGTCAATGATAAAAGCATGAAAAGAATGCCAAGCACACTCCCCATTCTGGTTGATTTTGTATCTCATGTTCAAATTCATTTTGGCCCAGTTCGCTTGAATCTATAAAATGCAAACCAACATCAAAGAAGGCTAGCCAAAACAATAAACAACTGTGCCAAACTTAGCATCAGCAACAACAAAGGTACCTTACAGTGAAACGGTCATTATAAGAAGCTTCTCTTTGTTTTATATACATGGACATAATATAGGTGTGTGTCTCTTTGTAGTAGTAGTATAAGTAGTAGTAGATGCAGTAAGATTTTGGGGCTATTTGTAGCAGGGTCACAATTTCTTGTCCTAAGCACTTCCACTTATTTATGGGGAAGTCCACGTAAGTTTCCTGCAGCAACCATGCTAAAACAAATGAAAAAGAACTTACAAGTAGTTGTAGTTTGCTGAAGGACTTTAAAGCCTCCAATTCATGTAATCATAGTTTTACCTAAAGCACTGATGAAATATTCAACGTAAGCTACTAACTTCAGTACTTTCTGTAAAACTACTTCTTTTTGTTGCCCCAAAAAATTACAATTACAATCTACAGATTGTACAAGGCATCATTCTTTAACATTTTCATACCATAAACCACTGCTCTGGTCTCATAATGGGAAGTGACCAACCATTAGGGAAGTAACCAAACAGTCTAGCAGACAACGCCAAGTTGGGTGGGAGCGTTGATCTGCTCAAGGGTAGGAGGAATCTACAGAGGGATATGGATAGACTGGAACAATGCACCACAGCCAACTGTATGAGGTTCAACAAGGCAAAGTGCCAGGTCCTGCACCTGGGGCACAACAACCCCATGCAATGCTACTGGCTGAGGGAAGAGTGTCTGGAAAGCTGCCCAGCAAAAAGGGACCTGGGGGTATTGGTTGACAGCCAATCACAGAATGGTTTGTGTTGGAAGGGACCTTACACATATTCCAGCCCTCCTGACATGGGCAGAGACACCTCCCACTAGATCAGCTTGCCCAGGGCTCCATCCAACCTGGCCTCAAACATTTCCAGGGATGGGACATCCACAGCTTCCCTGGGCAACCTGTGCCAGTGCCTCAGCATCCTCAAAGTGAAGAAAGCCAGATGAATATGAGCCAGCATCGTGCTCAGGTGGCCAAGAAGGCCAACAGCATCCTGGCTTCTATCAGTGTGGCAAGCAAGAGTAGGGAAGTGATTGTCCCTTTGTACTCAGCTCTGGTGAGGCCACATCTCAAATAATGTGTTCAGATTTGGGCCCTTCACTACAGGGAAGACATTGAGGTGCAGGAGTGTGTCCAGAGAAGGGTAACAAAGCTAATGAATGGTCTACAGGACAAGTGTTATGAGGAGCAGCTGAGGGTGCAGGGGCTGTTTAGCTTGGAGAAAAGATGACTCAGGGGAGACTTCATTAATCCCTACAACTACCTCAAAGGAGTTTGTAGTGGGTTGGGGGTTGGTCTCTTCTCACAAGCAACAAGAGATGAGATGAAGGGAAATGGCTTCAAGTTGCGCTAGGGAAGGTTTAGGTTGAAAACTAGGAAAAATTTCTTCACTGAAGGGGCTCTGGGGCATTTTAACAGGCTGCTCAGTAAAGTAGTTGAATCACCATTCCTGGAGTTAGTTAGAAGACACGTAGATGTGATGCTCAGGGACATGGTATAGTCGTAGACTTGGCAGTGCTAGGTTAAAGGTTGGACTAGGTGATCATTGTGTTTTTTTCCAACCTACATGATTCTATGATTACTGCACTGAAATACATTCAATATGGTTGACAAATGTTTTCTGTCCCTGCAGATTAAAAAAGGAATCAGTTGCCATGCAAAAATAACTTTTCATTTAATTTGAAACAATATATTGATCTATTTACACATACTTGGCTTCATCCTTAAAAATATTTGGACAGTAAAGTTCTAAAAGCTTCTTGTGGAAAAGTTCACAGCTGACACATTACATTTAATGACAAAGCATAATTTGCATCTGGTAAAACAAGCATTTCCAGTGGTGTTACCTCACCCTTTGCAATTCCCACTTTTCTATAAGATGCTCCACTTCACCTCCGAGAACTGCAGTGTTACTGTCATCCAACAACAAGAATCCATTTCTCACTTCAACAATTCCTGAAAGCTTAATTTTTGTTCCAGGTGGAGTGTTCAAGCTACAAGCAGAAACAAAACCAAGTATTTCACATATGTTTATTAATATTTTGCCACCAAAAAGAACGCACACAAAACTATTCCTATTATACTTTCAACATTTTCATATTTCATAATAAATGATTAGCATCAAAAACCTTTGCAATAACTCCTTCAACAGGCACAGTAGTTTTCAATAGCTTTTTTGGAACACTTCCCATTCATTACACAAAGATGCCATATTGCAAATTAGATTCTAACAGAGATGAATGTTTGCAAATTGTCTGGTTGGTTAAAATCCAATTTAACAGTACCAAGCTAAGGATGTGATTTGTCTAGACTAACAGAAGATGTCTCAAAGTCAGTTGTCTAAGAATAAGTTCCTCATCCTAAGACTCATTTATAGTTAATAAACGGAAGATTTCCAGATGGTTAATCATCTCGTTTGTTTTAGACATTTAACTTAGGAGAAAACTAGGAACAGTTGAGAAAGATGCCTTCTATACATTGCTAACAGCCACAACTGTTCCAGAATATAAAAACCATGCACCTTGTGGTGCTTCTTCACTCATTACTCCATGATTTAAAAGCAGATGGATGCTCTCTGTGGTCAACTCCCACAAGAAGGTACCTATCTTCTTTTCATTTGAATCTACCCTATAAAAACAGCAGCAGATGCATAAAAGTATCATGCATCTCCAACTCCTAATTGAAAGATGTGGCAAGCAGCACAATCTGGAAATGATTATTTTTACAGTAAGAAACAAAAGAGGACAGTGCGTTATAACCTTTCGAGTAAGAGATAATAACCTCTTCAAAATATGCTAAAGCTGTCATTGCAGTCACAGAACCATACCACATGGTAAGGAACGCTCACAGAGATGTCAGACAATTTTAGCATTAGTAACTTAAACCTCTGCACTATTAATGGACTTTCTATATTGTTCTGACAGAAGCAAAGAAAGTAAGATCAGAAAAAAAAAAACAGACAAGAAATAAAACAAGAACTTCTGTCACTACTACAGAAAGTGATGAGTTGTGACACTGGAGACTTCATCTAAGAACTTTTAAATTATGTCTTTTACTGGCTGTTGGTCTTGTGTGTATTGTTTGCTCTAGAATCTAATGCAGGACTCTGTTTGCCTTCCTTTTCTGCGCTTTTTATACTCACATTGGAATATGATATTCCAAGTTGTGAGGGCTCAAGCTAAAATTAAAATATCATCAAGTACTCTACTTTTAGATCATCTTCACTCTGAACTGCAAGCTGTTTCCTACTCAGAATGAGCAGCATAACAATCAAAGACAACATTTAAAAATGAAGTACAAAAGGTCTACACATCTAGCAGAGACAGAGGAAGAAGATGCTTTTTAAATAGAAAGTAATCTGGAATGAAGAGCAAAGCATACCATAACTCCAGATCTTTTTCAATATCTTAATGACTACAAACACAAGAAATCCCCATGTTCAGCAGCAATTAGCTCTTTTGTCCTTCATTTTTAACTAAAGAAAAAATGACTAATTCGGTACAAGTTATAGCCTTGTCCATGGTAAAGCAGCACTAATTGCATGAGGTTAGGTGCGTCAGGACTGTGACATTCTCGTTACCAAGTCAGACAAAAAACCTGCAAAAATAATTGAGATTTGTCTCAAGTTAGCACACACTTATAAGCCTGCTTGCCTTGTTAAGTCTGACTCAACAGATGGGTGCAAAAATCCTCTTCAGCACAAAGAGCATTGTAAATTACATTCATATACACTTCTGCATGCTACTTTAAAGTTCTCCTGTATTTCCAAAATCTGAGATGGAAATGAGAATAAACCAAAAAGCCAAGTTGCCCACCTTATTTTTGACATACTACTGTATTCTATAGCTGTGCAGCTTGTGTGTCCATCAGTCATCTGTAAACGTAACATTCTGGGAGCAGCCTGAGACTCTTCATTATCCTTTGGTGCAGCAACATTGCGTATTTTCTGTATTTGCAAAACACATGGACCTTCCAGCTATTTATGCAAAACAGAAAAGACAAAAATGTTAACACCTTGAAGCAAGCACACTGTAATATCTAGACACACTAACAGATGCCCCCAGGCAAAGCAAAGTGTAATGTAATTAGGCAGTTACATTCAATTTCTATCACTCACATACAGTATGTTCTAAAACATGACAAAAATGGCTTTTTCAGAGAAACAGTTGTAATGATGCTTCATACATCTCTACAATATCAATTATAGAAAAGAAGTGAAAGATTTGGAGCAAGTGTACAAACCAAAAAAACAAGACTTCAAATACAGTATTTGTGGTGGAGGATTTCTCAAAAGCTGTAGAGGTTATGTTCATTTGGAATCTACTTAAACTTGAAGCTTTTGTATCGTTTCTTTCAATAAGTGAATATTTGAAAATGATAGTATAAACAACAGTATTTTCACTTATTTCTGTCCAAATCTTATTTCTGACAGTAACAGTTAAATGACCAATCCTGTTTCTCATATGAATGGAGCTTTCTTTCCCCTTGATTTCAACAGAAGCACAACTGGATAATTTAATGTATGATAGGAAAACAAGTCCCCCACTATCAACTAACTTCAAAAAAGAAGACACAAAGAGATAATGATTAATATTTTTCCCTTATAGAATTTTTGTACAGAAAGATTATTTCTATAGTAGTGAATGATACACCGCCACACTCATAAATTGCTTAAACTCCTTAAGCCTGGCTTATCATAAATTAAAACTTTAAAAAATAATAATAATAATAATAAATATGAAATGTTTTCAAAGTACAAATGAAGAAGCGTTAGTTATATGAGAAGCACTCCTAAGTGACCACAACTAGATGTGGTACTCAGCTGAACAGTATCTTTATTATGATTGCAATTTCTCTCATAAATGTTAAGTAAATTTTAGTTCTGGGCACGTGTTTTTGTTTTTAAATAACTGCTTGATAGACCCCTTACAATTCTGGAGCACAAAGAAATTAGAGCTAGGCTAACTATGAATATATATGCAAATAGATTCAGGTTTTCTTATACACTATATCAAGCATGCATTACAATAAAGCACAGCTGCACATTTGACGAGCTTAGACAATAGCGTCTGCTTCTCTAATGATTAAAATTACATGTTACTTCAAAGAAACAGGTGCAGAAGAAGAACAGAAGAATGGTACTCTTAAGTAACTATGCTATATTAACAACCTATTTGTTTATACGGACTTAATCAGCTTCTTAGAGCTTCCCTGTCACAATTCAGCTCAGTTTCCCTCTCACCACATAAAACGACCATGTAGTGATGGCAGAAGTCCATCTTCCTGCAGAAGGAGGACTACCATCACAAAATTCCAGGTGAATCCAGAAAACCTATGCCAGTAGTCTTCGCATGGACTACTTCAAAGAATCACTGTAACCCACCATATAAAAATCCTCTTAACTTGGCCAAGTTACAAAGACACGTGAAAGCAACGTTAGTATTTAAGTTTCTAAGTAGCTGTTCTCACTGAGCACAATGAAGAGTCACATCAAAACCAGTAATAGCAAGTTTTTACATTCAAGAGAGTTCATCAACCCAAAGTTAAAAGCTCTCTAGACCACTCTGCAGTACTTGCTCACAGCTCCTTCAAGCCACAGGTTTCACACTGCTCTCTTGCATTTTTTTAAGATGAAAATCATTAGATTCTGGTAAAATAACCATGTTGCATAATCCCAAAGGAAGAGTAAACTACAACTGTACTATCTGGAACATGAATGAAGGCATTACTTAAATGATAATATGGGATTATATAATTGCAGAATCACCTAGGTTGGAAGAGACCTCCAAAATCACCTAGTCCAACCTCTGACCTAACACTAACAAGTCCTCCACTAAACCGTATCACTAAGCTCTACATTTAAACATCTTTCGAAGTCCTCCAGGGATGGTGACTCTACCACTTCCCTGGGCAGCCCATTCCAATGCCTGACAAACCTTTTGGTAAAGAAGTTCCTCCTTATAACCAACCTGAAACATCCCTGGCACAACTTTATCCCATTCCCCCTCGTCCTGTCACCAGGCATGTGAGAGAACAGACCAACCCCCACCTCGCCACAGCCTCCTTTAAGGTACCTGTAGAGAGCAATAAGGTCACCCCCGAGCCTCTTCTTCTTCATGCTGAACGAGCCCAGCTCCTTCAGCCGCTCCTCATAAGACTTGTTCTCCAGGCTCCTCACCAGCTTCGTCGCCCTTCTCTGGACCCACTCAAGCACCTCCATGTCCTTCTTGTAGCGAGGGGCCCAAAACTGAACACAGTACTCGAGGTGAGGCCTCACCAGAGCCGAGTACAGGGGGACTCCCTAGCCCTGCTGGTCACACTGTTTCTGATACAAGCCAATATGCCGTTGGCCTTCTTGGCCACCTGAGCACACTGCTGGCTCACATTCAGCCGACTGTCCACCATCACTCCCAGGTCCTTCTCTGCCTGGCAGCTCTCCAACCACTCATCTCCCAGCCTGTAGCTCTGCTTGGGGTTATTGCGCCCCAGGTGCAGGACCCAGCACTTGGCCTTGTTGACCTCAGCCCATCGGTGCAGCCTATTCAGATCCTCCTGCAGAACCTTCCTGTCCTCGAGCAGATTGACACACTCACCTAACTTGGTGTCATCTGCAAACTTACTGAGGGTGCACTCGATCCCCTCATCCTGGTCATCGATAAAGACATTAAAGAGGACTGGCCCCAGTACTGAACCGTGGTGGAGGGACTGCACTAGTGACTGGCCTCCATTTTGGAGGATTTGACTCCATTCACCACAACTCTTTGGGCCCGGCTATCCAGCCAGTTTTTAACCCAACTAAGCATGGTTCAAGCCATGAGCAGCCAGCTTCTTGAGGAGAATGTTGCGGGAAACGGTGTCAAAAGCCTTGCTGAAGTCAAGGTAGACCACATCCACAGCCTCTCCCTCATCCACTAAGCGCCATCACTTTGTCATAGAAGGAGAAAGATTGTGTACAAAAAAACAGTTGCTCCAAAAAGTATGTTAACTGGACAGGCAACTGCACACATACTAATGAATAATCTTAGTTTTTCAATGTGAAAAGTACAGTATCATCTTATACAATACACAGTATTGCGCTAATGACATTATAATATTCATACTGAAAGTTTAAAATTTATTTATGTGAAAACTACTAGATAAATCTGAATTCTTGACCTTGAAACGGGAGAACGAGACAAAGGGTAGTGACTGAAAGTTGAGGTTTAATGAATTCAAAAGCAGAAGTAAGGCATATATGTTATCAAGTGATAATGAATTTCCAGAGTAAGTTACTTTTTTCTATAACACTATTTTAAAATACTTTTAAAATTTTATAACTAAAATTTATTTTAAATTGGTGCCAATCTGGAATGTGAAAGATGATAGAATTACTTTGTTGACAGCCTTTTCAGTTTCCTGATTTCAGTACATCACCCTTCTCTTTGATGTCTTTTACTGACTACAGTAATGTGTTTCTTTTTCATTCTACTGAGATTTTAAGTGAAGTATTTGTCAAAATCATTCAAGTGTAGACTTTTAAGACCACCTTCATAATTTCAAAATGAAGTGCATCTATTTACTTTAAGAACCATTTGTCAAGCAGACCATGATTAGACAAAGCCTAGATTTCCTCAGCTTATATTTGAAGATGAAACCTCATATAAGAACATACATGACTCTTGTAAAGAAGAACAAAAAAATGAATACAGTATAAACAAATATCCACATTATAATGTGATACAATGTATTCAGGTCTTTCTAGACACAGTTTAAATAGACTAAAACATAATTTACTCATATTTAGTTAACTCATAGGCTTCTTCCATACAAAGAAACATATTTAAGTACTTCACATTGTGTTCAGAAGAGTCTGCAATGTTAACTACGCACTCTGACTGGAGGGGGCTAGTAGATCAACTGTTGGATATACTATGTAGAACAAATCAAAAGCCCTTCCAGCAAATCCTGAAAGTCACTAGAACTATTTAATACCAGTGGTCTTCAAACAGTACTTACACTCCACAGGGTCAGCAAGTTAAGACATTGCCGCACACAAACAGGATGGCAGCAATTATCCTTACAAGAGATGTTCCAGATCAAGCTAGAACCAGAAGCATACTAACTTGCCAAAGTACTGTGATCGAGGTAGAAAATCTTCTAATAAATCAGTCCCTTCTGATCTCAAAGTTACAGATGTAAAATCTGAAACAATTCCCAACAGCTACCTAATGATTTTTACGTAATATAACAACTAGACTATAACCTACTGTTTTCAAAATACTGCCTGCCTAGAGGCATTGCTTTGACACACTCAACCTCATCTGAAAACTAAAAAGTCAACCTTTCACAAGGACTTTGCTATATCTATTATATCTAGCATTATCTACTTTTTCTCAAAAATACAGACGGAATCATGCCTCTTTAAAGCTCCTGAAATAGGCATTAGGAGCTAAGAACACCATCAAAACACTGAAAAGGTGAAGAGTTCAAGGATGAGAGCTTACCTAAAGCTGCTAAATAGTTCTCTCTAGACAGACTATCACTCAGTTCGATCTGTCAGCATCACTGCATGCACAGCCACAAGTACCTAAGCCTGTCAAAATCATCTCAATTATAAAAGATCAATGAAAAATTCATTTTTGACATATGCAGCTTCGAACACAGAGCAATCACTCTCAATGGAAGCTAAATACAAGCACGTCAAGACTGAAGCTTTTTAATGCGGATCAGTTTTAACTGGAACAGCGAATTCAATCATGCCTTAAACAAAATAAAAAAGGCTGTAGGAAACGATGACATTCACAATCAAAGAGATGGTAGAAGGCAACTAAACACTGTTAGTTATACTAATGTACTGGCACAAATTGGGAAGTGTAAGAGTAACTTAAAGCAAGAATTAAAATATGTAGCAAGTTATGTTCTAACAGCTTACCATCAGCCTGTCAGCATTTGGAAAGCATTTCTCTGATGTCAGAAATGAAATCCTTTCTGAACACT